AGCACAACCAGACTTATGATTTGCCTTGACATATCTCATATACGTATTTAAAAATTAGAGCGGTTTCCGCTAAAACTGACTACTAACTACTAACTGTTATCCTGGAAAGTGTAAGATACAAGAGGGTAATTTTGTAATATTAGAATGAAACCATAGAATCAAAAAAAGAATTTTGTTATATATTTTAACTCTTTGATCGGATTTTCTCTTTTTTGATCATAAAAATAATGTTTGTCTAAGTGATAATAATAATTATCAATTTTTATCGATAATTAAGCGGTTGAAAAACAAGAAATAAGATTTGAATTATCAGAAAGAAAATATATTCAGTTTTTTTAAATTACTTTTCATTGTGTCTAATAAAGGAAACTTTTTTGCTCAAAAGGAAACGTGATATGCAATTAGGATGTTCAAGCATCAAGCATATTATAATGTCTTATATAATCTTCGTTCATAACTTCGCGTCAAAACGTTTCAGCAATCTATTAGGGATTCGACCGTAACTCTTAATTTCACAAACTTCCCCTATACCACAATTACGTGACCACAACACAACTCCACGCAGGGAAATGCTGTGCCAGTGAGGGTAAGTGTCTACATTATAATAGCATGTTTGTGTTTACATGATTTTTTTGGCATCACTGATTCCAAATTCTGAAAATGACGGAAAGATGCATGAATTTGCATTAAATGTTCCTTTTAAACTCGAAAGAGTTATGCGACAACTATTCAAATCGTGCTAAATCCTTTTAAGATGGATATATGAAAAAAACACGAGAAAAATGGGTTCAATCGGTATAAAAATGGTCGCACATATGTTGACAGAGATACAGGTAGACCTTTTAGCACAGCATCGGGAAGTAGCGAACGTGTGTGACTTGTAATCGAAAGAGATCGTTGGTTGAATTTGCGCGACCTAGAAAGTCACCTTTTTTCCTGTATATCATAAACTTTATTACGACTCTGTATAAGGTTTTAATTTGGCGTATTCCGATTATGTATTTCAACTTAAGTTTTTTATTGTAAGCATTCAAATGGCATCTCAAAATCTTCGAAAGAAACATTTGAATTCCGAAAGTGAAGGCCTACTCTAGGTGTGTATTTGTTAAGTATCAATTCCACTGAATAAAAGCAACCGCGTTATCTTTATATCGTTTTCTTTGTAATAATTCTAACAGATAAGCATAATTGTATACATCGACTGCAACTTTTTAATAGACAATATAACAAATGCATTTTAGACAACTAAATTTACGTTAGATATCCGAAATATATAATATCTGAATGCATGAAAAGAAAAAATTACTGTTTATGAAAATATCTGAATACCAAAAGAATGAAATGTTCTTTTTCAAACATAATTGAGTTGATTTGCATATATTTACCATATTAAGTTATTGAAGTTATGAAAAGCCATGGCTAGAATAGACATTTAAATAAGACCTACATAAATCGTGACTAATTACAAAGGTAATGTTAGGGTGTACAGAAACAAAGGTTCCGAAATTATAAGGTTTCAATAACGTTTAAATCTGACGGATTTTGAGGGTAACAGTGTACCGTATGAATACATAATAGCAATCAAAACCTCGATAAAACAATACATATTAAGGACATTTCGGTGGCTTGTAGTTAATTCGATTAAAATAAACTGATACAAACTAAAGCACTACCAACATTTACCGGAAAACAAATCCATCCAAATCGTTTCTTAAATTCTATACCAATTTGTTTTTACGCAGTAGTTTTAAATGAAGAACACATCTTAGATGGTTCATTCTTTTATTTTTAAGTGTACACTTTCATTAGAATGTTAGTTCTTTACTCTCCTTAAACTTTCATGTGAAGAATTAAATATGCAATGACTACGTATCATCTTAATTGTATCCAAGCAAATCACAAATTGGTTTATAATATTGACCATCATTATTATAAATCAAGCTACGTAATACAAAATATTTCTCGGCTGCTCAAGCCCGAAAAATACGATTCTATAAGTTAAAAACAAATGTAAAATAATAAAAAGTATCACTTTGTAACAATGAACAAAAATTAACATATACACAAAAAATAAAGACTTGCATCGAACTCGAAACCAACTCTCGCCCATTGAAATCACTGGTTATTAGAATTATTTGTGAAGTAAAATGTATTTTATGAAAATATTTGTATGCTACAATGTCAATATTTTCTATGTGCAATAATCCAATTGCCAATTATACAGAAGTTTCAATTGTCAGAATATTAACGATCAACAATAGTTTAATGGATGTGGTGTTGATACAACAATACCTACATAAAAGGACTACTCCGATGGACCCCTTCACGGCCATACCAGTCCTGATCGTTAAAGTCAGTGCTATTGACATTCAGAGTCAAGACCGAGAGTGACAAATATTTCAGTTAGAGTATGATGTTCTATAATAAACTTTTTTAGTAAGATTTAGTCCCATTTACTCAACTTTACTTACTATCGGAGGAATCAAAAATGACAGTGAGGAATATAGGGTTCGACATGTACCAACAAAGTAAGTACCAATTTCTTCAATCTGAATTTGATCATATAGTAGAAGGTACTTTTTAATCAATACTTTATATGAAGGTATGTTGTAAAAAATATTGATGAAAGTAGATTAAAAATTGATGAGTTTTAGCTCATATGTTTTGATTTATCTCCTATAATACGGATGATGACAATGTACAAAGATCCAGCGGATATATTGTATGTGTACAAGCAAGCTATAAATGAATTTTATTAGTAATATTGACTATTATCTTTCAATCAAATCAATCTTAAATACTTTCAAATGTTATAAAATATTAACTGTCGGTTACGAGACCATCTTGACTCTGTGACGATTTGAAAAGTGTCAACTCAGCATACCATGAAATTATTTTTAAAAGTAGTACATGATAATGCTAGAATTTACAGAAAATTAGAAAAGGATAGAAATACTGAATTTGGATTTAGAAATATTTAATGTAATGTCTCAGAAATGCCTAGATATGAATCATTATATGAAATTATGCTTTATTGACCATAATAAAGCCTCCAATTAAGTTCTTCATCAAAAGATTGAAAATTATTCCAAATCTTTACTATGATCAAACAAAGTACAGTAGTACAGACAGAAGAAAAGACAACTGAAGATAAAGAAATAAAGAGAGGATTTCGTCAGGGTTGTGTATTTTCGAAAATCCGTTTAACGGAAGCCCAGTAACAGAAGACAATCTGAGATATGCAGATGATACACTTCAGAGAAACTTCAAAAACCTACAGGCATTTATTAATAGTCATGGAAGTTAGTCAGGAATATGGACTATCACTAAACATAAACAAAACCAAATGTATGCTTCTAACGAGTGAGAAAGAATGAAAAAGTACAATTATCTAGGTATTCGTTTTAATGATAAAGTTGTCAGTTCTCTTGAAATAATCCGAATTTGAAGTTTGAGTTGTTTTTTTGTTTTCTGTGAGTGATTTTGTTCCAACTTTTCTTTAAATTATCATTTAGATCATTGTAATAGTTAAATCAAATTTCTGACTTAAATAGAATGAAGGTATAAAACATAATGTATTTAATAATGTTTAAATATAAAAAATCAGATCTTTAAATTAAAAAATAAGGGATAAAAATCTATTGTAAAAACTAAAAATTGTAAAGTAAGTGATCACAAATCCAAGTTAAAATGTTCCAAGACGTTAAACTGTTAATCGTGCAAGCGTAATGTCGTAAATTATATTTAACCAAACAATGTTCTCTAAAGTAAAGTCTTGTACAGAAATATATTTATAACGAATTAAATAATTTGAATGTTATGATACTTCGAGATGTATAGTGTCGAGGACAATGCAAGATACAGTTTTCACAGCTCTTAAAAAAGCAAAACAGTGCAAAACTGCTTCAGACCTATAATACACAAAATAGCTTATTTTTAGAAAACAATACAGAGCAATCGATAGAACATTTAACGATTTCGGTACAAACAAATTCCACATGTTTCATTTTTGTTTAGTTTGCTAGCGAATAAATAACTTCAACTGTTAACTATATTTTTTAAAACATTGGTATTAATAATCCATTAAATTAATTATTCCATTAATTAATTAAACTTAAAAATTATTTTTGTATTTTCACTTTTAGTAATATTTTTTATACATTCTAATATACTTTGTTTAATCTTGAATTACAGGGACCTTAATATACATTACTGATAAGTAGTGAATTTAATTCACAAAAATCAGCAAATAAAAAATTATACAGCATACGAACGTGAAGAACTGGAATTAAGATTTTAAATGGAACACCGTTAAGCAAGTCAATGAGAAGCATATACAGTAACAAGCATTTTATCAATTAAACAACATGAAGTGTTTTGTGAAAATATAAATAAGATATTTAATCAGGATCCAATTTTTAAGAATCAAATGAACAAACAATTATTTGTTCCAAAAGTCGCGTCGAGCAGATTAGAAAGAACATAGTTTATTGATATTATTTTTACTACATTCATTGTAATAAAAATCTTTGTTAAAAATCTTCTCGACAACTTTCTTGTTAGCTTCATTCTCATCAATATGAAATGAAATATTTTTTGAAAAAATAATAATAAAACTATTTATTTTTTATTAGAATTATTTTTTAAATGCTCGATGTTTTTTGTTTTACCCAAAAAAGAGAATAAAACCTAATAACGAAAAAAATATTTGACAAATAATTGCAATGAAATATGTTGTTACTAATTTAAATGCTATTGTAAAAATCTATCGGTTGTATATTCATTTCTTAAAATCAAATAATAAAGAAAGAGAAATGAATAATTAATGGTACGATTGATGACATGTAAAGATAGTGGAATTTGTCTTTACTGAAACTTACTACTTTTATTTAATATAATTAATATAAACATCTCTTAAATGATTTTATTTTCTAAAAATAAGTGCTGGGCATTCAACTGCCTAGTATATCTTTATCGTGGTAAAAACTATTAACAAACAACTATTTCTTCGTTGGAGTACCTCTCTGAGTGAGTCCTTCGAATCTTTTGAATGTGTAGTTGATGAACACCCAATCTTTATAATTGATCTCGCCGTCTTGAGGAAGGGGTGCAGAAGCTAGAAAAATATATAATGTTTTAGTGTAATTCAATAATATACAAATAAGGTAAAACTTTAATTAATATATCACTAAAACCAAAAAATATTTATCAAATTTTGTGATTTTATATCTTTTATATCATAAAAAAAATTTGAGGATATTGTTAAAAATCGACATGCTCTTTAAATATAAAACAAGCTTATAGTCCGTGCCTGTTTTTTTTTTTGTTACTGAACATAAAATATAACATCAAGATGACGATAAACGATGCGTAACAAAAAAGATAAAGAGTAAATCGTTAGATAGCTTATTAGTATAAAGTCACACAATATGACCAGTGAGTCAAACAAAATTTGTTGTTTTTCACTTTAATTGCTCCTTTTTTTCTTCTTTCTAGTTTCTATTGGGAGTATTATTTTTAATCTCGACGAAATTGACCGATTTGATCTTTTTCAATTCTTTCATTTATACATTCTTTTTTTGCAAAAAAATTGTCTGTAATCCTAATAACAAAAAAAAAAAAGGTAATGGACGCTAGGGGAGACCCGGAGACTTTGGACACTATGAGATAATGGACACCTTCAAATTTACCGCCACACATAAATTGTTTGAAAAGCCGTTTGTGTGATACAGGTGAAAGTGTTCTTTTAAAAATTATAAAACGTTATTAACGAATTTTCCTTTCTGGTAAGTTTAACTTAACCTCATTTGTGTAAGATGCAAACATAATTTTACAAGAAATAGAGACAAAATGAGTATTAGTATATTACAAAAAGTATTTATTTTAATGTTCGGCAATATTTTACGGCTCTACTCCTAAATTAGTGAGAAGGTTGATCTATGAGTAAGCTATTAAAAAAATCGAGAAATTCCTGAAAACTTGATTAATAATATGGTGCCTAATCGGCAGGTACAAGGTCTTAGATAACCAAGCTTGTTAGAACATAGTAGATTATCTCACTAGCCAAATTAGAGATTCTAGACTGCCAATAACCGTGCATAGTTACCCAGGTCTTTCCTTTGCTCAATTGTTAGCAATAATAATGTCCATATGACGTCTACCAACATGTGGAATAAAGATGCATGTAATATTTTGAATAGAAAGATATTGAAAAATTAACAGGTCTTCATTCCAACATGGACTTATATGACTTACTGGGTAAACTAACACTGCCTGGGATAATTGCGAATGCTGCTCAAAGAAACAATGCCTTGGAACCGCATAGACACTATGAAGACGACCACGGCAAGGAATAAGGAAAGCGAAAAATATCTAAAACTCGGATGAGAATTACTAACTGGAATATCAGATCGCTTAACTCAATGGACCAAGAAATAACACAAGTGCTGAAAGAGAGACAAATGGACATTTGTGCTCTAGAGGAAGCAAAAAAGAAAGGAAGAGGACAATCAAAATTAGATGAAATATACTCATCTACAGTGGAGTAGCAAAAGAAAATAATGTCAACCAAGAGGCAGCCTTACTAATACACCAAAGGTACCAAAATAATACCAATACGTTTCAATACAAATCAGACAGGATTGCTACAACAAAGATAAGAATGAAAAAGGAAGACCTGAACATCATCGAAGTATTCGGCCCAGAAAATAACAAGCCTCAAACAACAAGGGAAATGTTTTAAGTAACAAAGTAGTAGAACAAGTTAGAGGGAAGATGATAATATTGGAGGATTTTATCGCTCGAATGGGCAATAAAGTAATACCCGGAATTAAACGGAAACATAAAGAGAATTTTAAACACGAAAATGAATAAACGTCTGCATGAATAACGAACTTAATAAATATCACATTGACTACAAAGACCAATACAAATATACATTCAATAACACCTGTGGACAAAGATCTATGATAGATTATATTATAACCAACAAAGATATACATACATAAAAAAATAATCGAAGTACGATGTCTTAAATCGGCAGATGTGTAAATAGCGACCATAGCCTAGTATTAGGGAAAATATGAATCATCCTGGAATAATTCACTTCCAAGAGAGCGGCGCCAACACAAACAAAAATCAGAGTCGAAGGACTAAATACGAAATCCACGGAATACTTATACAGAAAAAGAATCTCATAGAAGATTGCTGAAAATGAAATATTAGAAAATGATTAAATCAATTAAAGCTGGGAAAACCTCAAAAATAACATAACTAACACCGCAACAGAAACACTTGGACAGAAAAAAGTAACGAACAATAACATATAAAAAAAACCCATGGTTTAGAGAGGAAGTGAAGACAAAATGTGAAGAAAAGAACAAAATATTTTTGAGATACAGAACACAACAAACACAACAGGCATACAACCTCTGTAAACGAATATTTTAGTACTACAAATAAAAAAAAAGAACACTGACAGAGCTTCTAAAAACAGATGGGACACGACTTCTATGGAACACAAAAAGAAATATGGAGAATAATCAGAGGATAAAGAAAAGCGATGAACGAACTAATAAAAACTAAACGTATTCAAAAGGAAATATGGACAGACTACTTTGGATCCCTATTTGCCAAATGTGACGATAATGAACAACACCAGAAGTGACGACAAACGAAGGAATAAATATTGAGGAGGTAAAGGAGGCATAATGGAAATTAAAAAATGGAAAATCACCAGGAGAGGACAGAATAACGAATTACCTCATAAAGTACGGAGGACCAGATTTGACCAAACAACTATTAAAACTAATCCAAAAAATAATAGAACTAAACAGAAGACCACAAGAATGGAGATCAAGCATCCATTCAAAAAAGAGAGACAAATAGGACGCGGAAAATTGCGGAGGAATTATTTTTATTAAACACAGCATTGAAATTAACGACCAAATAAACTGAATGAAATTATAACACTAGCAGAAGAACAAGGTTTTATGTAGGTAAGATCATGCAACGACGCTATATTTTTAATTAGGTAGTGTAAGAAAAATCATTGGAATACAACAAACCCGCATATTATGTTTAAGCAAGAGAGATACATCTAAGAATAATCAAAACGATCGAAAATATTTACCAAAACAACACAATAAAATTAAAAGTAGAAGAACTAACTTACCCAATTAAAACTGACAATGGGATAAGACAGGGAGATTCCCTAAGTCTCTATTGTTCAGCTTGATCATGGATGAAATAATAAAAAAAATAACAACTAAAAAAGTATACCAAATGGGAGAAAACGTCTGCTATGCAGACGACGTAATACTATGTACTCTCTCAAAGTGAAGATCATTTACAACAATTGCAGTATTGGGACCGTGCAAGTTCGGAACAGCGACACCTGGTGTCGTAAATAAGCAAAATTTACTGCGCTTTCATGTTAGATCGAGGTTACTATATAACTGTCAAGGACGTAGCCCCAAAAAAGAAAAAGAAGAAAAAGTAAAAGATTGAGGTTATGTCGGTATGTTATTAAAAGGTAAACGTTGTATGTAGTGTAAATAAAAATAAATATATTATTAAATTACAGCATTACTGTTAATATGGATGCAATAATAAAAACTGGATTTGAGAAAGTAAATCACCAAATAACTTTTCAACCAAGCACTGAGTCAAATGGAAAAGCTTTAGTAGTGGCAAATGTCAAAAAAGAATGGAAGAATTATGTGGAAGAATTAAGAAAAATAAATTACCATAAATAATGCTAATGCATAAATTAGCAGGTTAAGCCCATGATATCATCATATTGATTTGAACAATTAATTCTTTCCCTGTAAACTTTTGGACAGCGAATATATCTTAATGCATCTTCAGAAAAACTTGAACTTGATGCATTTTTGTAAACTTCAAAAAAATAAAATTTAAACATTAAACTTGATTTTTGGGTTAAAATGAACTCTAAGTGAGTGTTATGAAACTAAAATTTACACTTTTACACAAAAGTGAACTTTTATTTATTTCAAACTGACTTTAAAATCGGGCGCAAGAATAATGCATAATTTAGGTTTGTTGATTTACAATTATATGCAAATGCAATTGACGGAGATGCAAGGTGGAGAATATCAGGACTGGGTAAGAAATAGTAGAGAAGAATAGAACGATCATTTGAGCCAAATGACAAGAAATAAAGTAGTAAAGACCGCGAGGGACGGTTTTCCAATAGGAAGACGATCAATAGGAAGACCACGAAAACGATGGAACTACAATGTAATGGACTCACATTGAAAAGCAGACAGTGTCATGACTACACAAAAAGAAGAAGAAGAAGAAGACTAGGTAAACTGTGTTTTTATTGCCAAAAAATATTACAAAAATGATGTATAAACAATTCTAAACTTTCAAAGAATTACCATTGGTTGTAAAGAAAAGACGATCTATCCAATTTTGCTCTACAACCATGTACAAGATATTGTGGATAAAATTAGATTATTTAAGTTATAAATGTATACAATAGTTAATAATAATATATCGTTTTCCGGGCTTACAGGCCCTGGGTCTAGAATGGTTTATTCTTCAAATACGCATATAACTAAGGCAGCCATTATCAAAGTCGGCACAGCAATGGTTGTAGTTGTCCTCTTGACTGAGACTGATTATTCCATAAGCTTGTTGGTAAGTGGTTTTAATCAACGGATCGCATCTACCGTAGTGTTGCCATTGTTAGTATTTCTCTTATCATGCATGCTTTTGCTGTGTTCATGTACTTTATAATGTGTCATTCATTATTCATTGCTGTCTGGTTAGTTTTTATATAATCTGTCGTTTGCGGATACCTTCCTCTGGTACCATCAGTATTGTCCCATTTTTTATTGTTTCCTGCATATTTAATTTCAACCCACTGTTTTTATATTATATAAATTGTCGGTACTTATTTATTTTCTCTATATATCGGGCACCGATAATTGCATTGGCTATCTATTTTCGTTGTTACTGACTCTTTTCGTTTTAAGCAGTATGCAATGCCGATATTGTCACTTGATTTTTCTACCTGATTAAATTGAGTTACGATCTTAAAATAATTTTAATTCCATTTAGGAATTAGATATTTCAATACAAATAAAAATAAACGAATACTTACGAATTTCAAGTTTAACATCAGGAAAATCATCAAAGTTTGATGTGTCATCAATTGACTTAACTTCTACAGGTATGGCTGCTGGCCTTTCCCTTATATGCTCCCAATCGACGCCTCGGAAAAACTGATTTAATTTTAGGTCTTCTAGACCTTTTTGAGATCCCAGTCTTCTGTCTGCTTCACAACAGAACCTGGAAATAAAAATATATAAATAAATGCAAATATCGTAGCACATATTAAGAAATACTTTATCGAAATACAGAAATATTATTCTCGACATTTCGTTTTCGACCGAAGATACTTAAATATGTGCTACTTGAATCGAAACACGCTTCACTTCGAAATTTTGTAAACATCGACAAGGATTGGTTGTTGTTAAAAAGTGAATAGAATCAGACTCTTTAGAGAGTTCAATTTCTTCTTCTACTAATATAATACTTACTTAATGATTGTATCTTTGGCCTCTTCAGAGATCGGTACTTCAGCGGGGAAAACCAAGGTGTCCCTCCAATTCATCACTTTTGTGTATGTATCTTGAGGGTTTTCCGAACAGAACGGAGGATAACCTATCAACATTTCATACATAATAACACCTAATGACCACCAATCGCAAGCAGGTCCATATCCCGTTTGCATGAATACTTCTGGTGCTATGTAATCAGGTGTGCCTACTGTACTATAAGCCAGGGCTCTCCTATTTTTCTTCCAGCTTTCCGCTCTGCGTTTACTATCCATAGGACTCGAGGTAATAACTGAAAAACAACATGAATTTATTTGAAAATGAATTAAAATGGAAAATACAATCTCATTAACAATCGAGTTTTTTGGACATTTTATAGTATGTATTTTAAATTATGCAAAATTGTAAGAGTTTTATAAGTGGATTCGTCGGTAAGCACTTTAAGATCACAATGAAAATTTATACAGATAAGATTATACAAAACCATCAAAAAACAAAGCAACATTTTCATATTAGACTTGTATAGCTACAAGAGATGCTTTGTTCGGCTTGAATGTGCTGGCTGGATGCATGGACATGAATCAGGATATGTACTTATGTTTTGTAGACTTTGAAAAGGCATTTGATAAAGTTCAACATAAAAAGCTTGTAGATATACTAAAAAGCAAAAATATTGACAGTCGTGATCTGAAAATTATATCTAATTTATATTGGAATCAAACTGCCAAGGTAAGAGTTGACAGCCAGTACACCGAAAATATCAAAATACAGAGAGGAGTCCGCCAGGGTTGCGTGCTGTCCCCACTACTTTTCAATGTCTACAGTGAAGCGGTATTTCAACAAGTGCTCTCAGACTCAATAGAAGGTATATCTATCAATGAAGAAGTTTTGAATAACTTACGTTTTGCAGACGATACAGTAATAATTACGGATAACAACAATGATTTACAGAACCTAAAGCAACGCCTTAATGAACGCTGTCATGAGTACGGACTGAAAATAAATTTAAAGAAAACTAAATGCATGATCATGACTAAATCTGCACATGCAAATATCCAATTGACTATTGAAGATACTGCAATTGAGAATGTTAATAACTATAAATACTTAGGAACATGGATAACATCAGATATAGACCAAACCAAAGAAATTAAGACACGTATTGAAATAGCACGTACATCATTTATTAAACTTAAAAAGTTTCTTTGTTGTCGGGATATAAGGTTAGAACTACGCCTGAGAATGCTTCGATGTTACGTGTTCTCTACTCTTCTTTATGGTCTGGAAGCTTGGACACTAAAACAAGTTCATCTGAATAAGTTGTCCGCCTTTGAATTTTGGTGTTACAGAAAAATCCTACGAAAATCATGGATTCAAAGAATGTCAAACATGGAAGTAACTAGAAGGATAGGAAATGAGGCGGAAATAATATTAACTATTAAAAGACGAAAACTTGAGTACTTGGGACATGTGATGAGAGGGCAAAAATACGCCTTATTACAACTTATTATGCAGGGCAAAATCCGAGGAAAGCGAAATGTGGGAAGACGAAGAATATCCTGGCTTAAGAACTTAAGGGAATGGTTTGAATGCAGTAGTGCAGAACTTTTTAGAGCGGCAGTCAACAGAGTCCGCATAGCCATGATGATTTCCAACCTTCGATAGAAGATGGAACTTAAAGAAGAAGAAGCTACATTTGGAAACTCTGTAGTTACAGAACCATACTTCTACTATAGATACTCGTTGAACCAACATGGACCAAACCAGTAATACTAAAATAACGGGAGACTTCGGGACTCTGGAAAAAAATAAAATGCTCAGCAGATTAAGGATTAAAAAAAAAGTTAGTTACTAATCCCCAGAACATCGAAAAAGAAATAAGGATTAGAAGATCATTTGCGTATTCTTGCAGAAGATACCGAGAAACTTGGATTATCTCGGTAATACTTATCATCCGGAACCAAAAAAGTAAAGCTCAGGAAGATCGGAGAACAGGCTATTCAGCAAAATGGAAGTAAAAGAAAAATATGGTAGATAAAAACGTTCCATGCCAGGCACTGAGGGTGCCAGGGTTAACAGAATTCTTAAGAGAGGGGATAGTATCTACCAAATGGAAAGTATGCGGATGCTGAAAAGAAGACGATTGATTGTATTAAAAGTCGCCTTTTCGCGGTTGGAACAGCTGACTCAGGAAAATATTGCACATTTATAATATAACCTGGGAACGACTAGTTCGATCTATATAAAACAGCCTAATCAGATACATATTCACAAAGCTCGTTCAAGAGAGACTTGATATCATCAGCGTACCCATTTAGAGTAAGCCATGATCTGGGATATATACCCAAAATGCCACTGTTTCAAAATCATACAGATCAATAAATCTGACCTCATTCATGTTAAAACAGGCAAAAAATCTTAAACGACTAGGTCAAGAATAAAAATACTACAAAACATCCTTTGCACCCACTGCAGTAAGGGACAGATAGATGAAGATTCCCGGCATAATCTAGTGTCCAGTATCGAGAGGTGCTTACACCAAAAAGAGAATCTTACACTTTGTTGCATTCTTAGAAAGAATAAGAAAACTAATGAAACATCATACAGGTGGGCAACTCAAATGCTATAGTACAAAGTTATATTCGCAGAAATACATGGAGTTATCTATTTAGAACGACGAAGGCGTGCCGTCAAGGAAGAGTACATTAGAGACGCTATGAACTAAAGTTGTTGATATTATGCGCTTACCAACCCAAGAAAACATTTCGTAGTTTCGTCTTAAGTGAGATAGATCCACCTTGTGCTAAACTACATAGAGAAATTGTGTTAAAGAGATAAACTTAAACTGCATGGCTTTACAAATAAGCGAAAGATCACTAAATTGGATGAGTTGAGGTTATTTGGAGAGGAAATACTTTAAACCAGTGAAGCTAAATATCTGGGGGCGACCTTGGATTCTAAGCTTGTTTAGAATATTCATATTAATAATGCGCCATCGAAAAAAACATAATTAGAGTAAGCCTTGGAACATGCCCCTTATTTTGGATGGTTACTCACTTCCACAAAATATTTTATAATAAATGGAAATAAGTATTACATAACTTGACATGTATATACGATTAACTGATTTTATACGAGAGTTATATGTCTATAATCTTCACGAAAATAGAAATATTAGGAGTAATAATCATCAAAAAAGCACATGTCTTTATATGTATGTGTACGGGATCTTCACCTCGCTCGATCTGTTCATCCTCCTCATTCATGGCTCAATCTTCCATTATTCCTTTGATTATTTCTCTCCATTCCAATGCCGGTCTGCCTCTCCTTCTTCTATGCCTTAGAGCATAAATCTAATGCTTGTTTTGGCCATCTTTTATCACCCATTCTCATTACATGTCGTTTCATTAAAGCTGTTTTAACTCTATCTACAGATAAACTTGCAGACGATACAGTAATAATGACGGATAACAACAATGATTTACAGAACGTAATGCAACGCCTTAATGAACGCTGTCATGAGTACAGACTGAAGATAAATTTAAAGAAAACTACATGCATGATCATGACTAAATCTGCACATGAAAATATCCAATTGACTATTGAAGATACTGCAATTGAGAGTGTTAATAACTATAAATACTTAGGAACATGGATAACATCAGATGTAGACCAAACCAAAGAAATTAAGACACGTATTGAAATAGCACGTACATAAATCATTAAACTTAGAAAGTTTCTTTGTTGTCGGGATATAAGGTTAGAACTACGCCTGATAATGCTTCGATGTTACGTATTCTCTACTCTTCTTTATGGCTTGGAAGCGTGGACACTAAAACAAGTCCATCTGAATAAGTTGGCCGCCTTTGAATTTTGGTGTTACAGAATCCTACGAATATCATGGATTCAAAGAATGTCAAACGTGGAAGTAACACTCTCTGCTAACAGAATTGTAAGCTTGTTTAAGTCCACGAAGATTTGGTGTACATTGCGGTTGAATTCCGAGTTTTTTTCCAAGTGGTTTCCTTATGGATGTATAGAGTTTCGTAAATGCTATTTTATGATTCTATAGTAGGTTTATTTGTTAAAAAAAATTTAATTTTTGTTCATAGCATTTATGGCTGTTTGTTTTAATAGACCAAAAATATTACCAAAATTATCGTTTACTAGATTATTCTTGTATTTTATTATTAAAATCAGTCATTTTACCAGTTCTCCCATATGTAGTGTCTAGCTACAGAAAAATACATAATGCATTTTTTTATTAACTTTATATTTGACTCCATTTTATAATGACCGGTAAAATATACCGGGGCTCTGTTTTTACCTTGTAATAATGGAATGTCTATAGTTAAGGGTTAAAATATTATTTCTTTTAGGTAAAACTTATTATTTGACTTTATTAGTTTATATTTAATGTATAGTGTATATATGTCGCATTATTTGTGTTTACCGGGGGATGTAATTACACCTCTCTCTACTTATTTGTTACTGTGTAGTAACAAATCACTTTAAACAATTCCATCTTATATCTTTTCCGTTATCGTTCTCGTCTTATTTCCTTTTCGTTCTTTCATTTATTAGGTTTCCCTATTCCTTTCAAAAATAGGGTGGGGTCCATAAAACGTCATTCTCTTTCGTGTTGTCTGTTAATCTCATGTAGTAATGTAATTTCATCTCGCAAACCACATGTAGTACAAGCTCTGTCGAACCCCGAAGATATCTCTACCAGACTGAAGCCCGGAATTATCAGAGCATTGGCCATCTTCTCTCCCCAATCACCTACTCCTCCACAGTCCAACCGTGGTAGCTGTTTATACGATGCACAAGTGAGAGGTGTTTATTTATGATACCCAAATAAGTGGCCCACCAACGTAGGGTTACAACGGTAAGTGACTTCCACTCGTGGGCCTGAAACCCTTTATTTTAGTTACGAAACAACAGTGATAAGACTAGAAGTAACATATACATTAGGACCGTGGTAAAAAATAAGTGTATAGCCAGTCTTTCCATTCTACAACGAGCAGAGCTCGTGAATATCAGAGGAGCCCTGAGAAACTCACCAAATCCAAACTGGTAAAAAACTGTAAGAATGTCCATAAAAAATTAGCCTGAGATATAGAAAATATCTAGAAACGTTCAGGTAAAAAAAAACTATTAAGGATTGATAACGAGTTTTTTTATAAAAAATCTGTACTTACTAAAATCCGAAGGCTTCGCTTGACTTAAGTCCCTATAAAAATCCGTCCGATGAGATTTCTTTAAACCAGTGCATAATCCGAAATCAGACAATTTCAAATGTCCTTTGGCGTCTAACAATAAATTATCCGGTTTGATATCTCTGTGGATGAAACCGAGTTTATGAATCGAATCAATGGCTAGTGCTGTTTCTGTTATATAAAACTGCGTACTATCTTCAGAAAGGGTGTCTTTTTTCATGAGAAGGGTCATCATATCACCTCCCGGTAGAAATTCCATTATTAAATACAGATTAATGGGATCTTGGAAACTATAATACATTTTTACTACCCACTGATGATCGGCTTCTACTAAAATATCACGTTCTGCTCTCACATGTGCCACCTAAAACATTAAAAATAATTATTTTACTAAAATAACATTTTTGATATTTATGTAGTTCTTTAATATTTATTGTATTATTTGGTTAATTATTGTTTTTATTAAACATAATAATCGGTAATTAGATATTTGCATATACATATTTACAAATTTTGTTGCTGCGTCTCCATAAACAAACAAATAAAATACTTATGACCTTAATATGTCGCTTACTATTCACATTGATGGAATTATACAGATATCCATAAACCGGTTGTAATTGTTGGACTCTTAACATAAGCCGGAATTTTTGGGTGTGTTCTAATTCGTGAAAATTAATTAAATTTGAAACAGCTTAATTTCTCCAAGATTGTTTGTCTAATTTTTACGCAGTGACTATGTGTCAAATTTGTTTTTTCACGCAATGTTCTATTGTTGGTTTTTATTAAAAGTAAAAATTAATCAGTTATAGCATTATAATAAAGCAGCACATTACGAAAAAAAAAAAAAAAAAAAAAAAAAATATATATATATATATATATATATATATATATATATATATATATATATATATATATATATATATATATATATATGATGGGGATTCGGGCTAGAAATTTGTATTTTGCTTCCCATAAAAATGCGTTTTTTTAACATAATAATATGCGTTTATATACTCCATTCGCTCAGCTCGGGCATATTTTGACAGATTCATTGTCGGAAACCTACAACACAACAATTCCTACTTTTCAGTATTAATAGCTCAAGTATACTACTATTGCAGTCTTCTTTCTTTGAAAAAAAGAAGAATTCTTCTAAATAGTGGAAGTGTATACTAAACCCACAAATTTTGGGTAGTATATATTTACAAAAATATATTTTAGTTGTTATAATTTAACATAACTATTTATTGTATGGTGCAGATAAATAAATATTGATTGTCGGTAATTCGCAAAGTTCTATTTTATTAACTGTTTAGTTTGTTTACTATTAATATTGGCTATGAGTATGTGTGCTTGGGTGTATAGTAATTTCCAGCCACTTTTAGTCTGTCAAAAGTAACTAACTTCGCAAACAAAAATAAGTTCACTAGACAGTTCGGACTGGGAATAGCGAACCGAGTATACTTACAAAATCACAAAACTTTACCAAAAGTATTTGTTGAGATATATATCAGAAATCGTTTATTTGATCTTTATATTTAATTTTATCATTATTGCTACATCTTCCTTTGTTAGATCTCTTGTTTCGTAGCCCCTCTATATATTGGTAAATACTCTCCCATCATCGTTTGCTCTTTACCTTTAATATTTCTTTCCTACAGTGCGCAGATGTCCTTTCAACTCTTTTTCTATTTTCTCTGATCTCTGTTATTAAGGCTTTTTATGTTTTAAGTTTTTCTCTTTCAGGACTATTTCGAGCTGCGATCAATAAAGTTAGAATTGCCATGCTAGTAGCCAACATCCGGAACGGATAGGCACCACAAGAAGAAGATGTTTTAAGTAGCCATTATGTGTTTCGTTTTCCAATTCGTCATACTTTTACTCGCCTTTGTTGTTCTATGATTTCCGTCCTAATCCTAGGCTGCTCACCGGTTCTTTGAGCATTTGATAATTTTTTTCGTCCTAACCAAAATAAGTAAATAAGGCTAACTGAGAAGCAGGATGTCCAAACAACACAATATGGCGAAACAAGTACCTTAGAATGGAAACGAAAATTATGATATTTAGTTTAACAATAAGGCCAATAATGATGTACACAGCGAACACAAGGGCGGATACGGCCAAAACACAAAGATTATTGGAGACAGCAGAAAAAGTCTTACGAAAAATATCATACCAACCGCTAAAAGATAGAGCAAAATATGAGGAAATAAGAGCGAGGATGTGGAAAAGAGGAAATAAACATGTGGACAATGGAAAAATAGAATGAAATCACCATATAAAAAGAATGGCAGAAAACAAAACAATAAAAATAGTAAGAGGCACATGGCCAATCGGAAGAAGGGCAATAGAACGCCCGAGGAAAAGATGGTCCAACATCAGTTGAGGCTAACAATGGAAGTAAAACAGGCAAAGCCTACCAATAAAGCAGGAAGAAGTAAGTAACAAAACTAGTAAATATACTAAATCACTTATAACTTAGCCTTATCGCATTGAATAAAATTTGCGGTCACTCATAACTTGCGATATTATCTTCAGTTATGCATATTTGTAATACTCTAATAACTAATACGTGTACATCTGTAACACCAAATATCATATTTCCAGCCTTAGTTACCGTTTTGCAAAAGGTCAAGAAATAGTTGATCAGAATATTATAAAAAGTCCAAGATAAACAAAAATTTAGTTAAAATAAACGAAAGAAAAACGAAATATATAAAGATATAAAACTTCACTAAAAAACAGGACGATCATCTAAGGTGCAAAAACTAAGGGAGAATAGATATTCTCGAAACAGTTAAAATTTTATCTATTTGGATGTTAGAATTGGTGATAAATGGAGGGAAACTGATAAAATTAAAAGTAGTAATCACAAAAGAGGCAAGAAAATATAAAAGCCTAAGAATGCTGAATGAATTATAGGAAAATATGCATAATAAAAAACAAAAATTAGGCCAAGCAAAATTTTGTAACACATACAATTATTTATAATAGCTAAACACGGAAGTTATGAAAACCAGAGGAAAACAGGTTGGAGAGGTAAGAGAGAAAAATATTAAGAGGGATCTACAGTTCTATACAAAAAAGGCCGAAGAAAGATGAGATAGATAAACAAATAAAGAACTATTTTATGAGGGTCTACGTGCTACAAATTTCATTTCATTTTCATTTCAAGAGCAAAAAAATAGTAGTGGGACTATACGAGTATATAGAGGATTGATGGGCATAGAAAGTTCAAAATAGCCGTAATTAAATGAAAAGAAATAAAAGGCCAACAGTGATAGTTGTCGTTCCATCGTTTTGTGACCTTCCCACTGATCGCCTTCCTATTGGGCAACCGTCTCTCGCCGTCTTTACTGTTATTTGTTGTCATTCGTTTTATATGATCGCTATGCTCTACTCTTCTATTTTTACCCAGTCATTGATGTTCTCCAGCTTGCATTTCCATTGTATATTTTTTGTACTTTTAGCTCAGCGCCCCATAGTGTCTTACATTCGATTTATCTAAGGGTTTTTAACTCTTTAACTCAATTATTTTTGTTTTCTTTATGCCAAGTCGTGTTTCTGCCGCGTCGTTCAGGATTGGTCTGATGACTGTTGTAAATTCTGCCTTTCATTTCTTTCACGATATTTTTATTTCTCCATATTGTTTCATTCAGGTAACCTACGGCTGTGTTTGCTGTATTCATCTGGATTCAAAAATTCCAGAAAAAAAGATGAAAAACACATCATCTCTATCTCCACCATACTGTGGATTGTCCAGACGAGATTGCACACCTCTACGCATCAAAACTTCATACACGAGCCAAAAAAACCAAAAACCATGAGCTGGTTAATTAACAAAAAAATTGCATCTACTCTAGAGAACAAAATAATCGTATATAGGTTATTCCACGAATATACGACTGTTTTGGATTATTACGACGACGAATATTTTACTGTGCAAGTAGAAGTATGAAAGTAAATTGGTCTAAACAGTATTCCAATAAAATGGATTTACTGTTAGTTTGACACTTACACTAAAATTATTTCAGTTAATATATGTTCAGATAGACGCAAAATTTATTGTGAAATTTAATCCGAAAATAAAAAAAATTTTTATGCGAACGGTCCTACAAATAAATACAATGAGTTCTATGAAGCCAAAATGTGTTCATAAGACATTTGGATTGGGTTTCCGTGAAATGTAAACACCAAAGAGGCGTGCCGGGTTTCTTTGATATTACACTTTTTATTACTTTATTAGGTACCTACTACAACTGTAATAAAAAGAAATATACTTTTAATATAAATGTAAAGAAATTGTCAGAACGATGGTTTGGAAACCAAAAAAAGGATCTATAATTTCACTTTCATTTCAAATGTTTGATTTGAGTGGATGTACACCTAAAGTTCCGAAAGTAACGGGTATAACATACCGGCTATTGGTAGTTGAAGTACCGAGTCGTTACAGATATTAAAAAGTAACGAACATTTATATACAGTTTCATATACCGCCGACTGATTTTATTTTTAAAAACTGGTCGTATAGAGGTGTCCGGTGAAGAGAGGTGCCGTTAAGAGAGAGTTTAGTGTAGTGTATTTATTTATTAAAGCCCAAAACGCCGAGACGTGTTTTAGATGTAGACAACTTTATACTTAATGTACTTTCCTATGGTGAAGTTCTGTGAATCTGATGGTTGATGATAGTTTTAGGAGATTAGGAGAATAAGAGAATAAGTAAGTTCTTTTTGTTTTCTTAATACTAATTGAATATTCGACTAAATAAATTACACTATTTAATCACCTAAGTATTGTTACACTTAGTTTAAATCACGTAATTCAAAAACCAACTTGTTTACAATACTAAAATCAATACCTAATTACAGTCAAAATCGTTTACAACGACACCGGCTATAACGTACAATCGGATATAACAAACAAAATAGTAGGTCCCATAAAATGACATACAAAAAACGCATTTATATTGCTTATAATGAACAAATCGGTTAGAGCAAACGTATTTCTTGGAACACTAGTAGTTAAAATATTGGTTACAGCGTACATCTTAATAAATAAGTTTAAAAGTGCTATCCTGTAAAGTTATGAAAATGGACATTGTAGTGTTGTATTTCTCACAGGTATTACCGATATTTAATACCACGAAATGAGAAGTAAGGATTTATTAATTTATGGTTATTGTACATCCGGACAGGCATCTACTGTCCTTTAGACAGTTAGACCTCCCAAGACGGGTCCATTGTATTACAAAATTTTGTTTATTTATATTTCACCATTTGGCCTAAGCCAAGAGTTTCTGAATTTGAATTCAGTTGTGTCTAGCCTTCATTGAAAAAATGTTACGGAAACAATTTACTATTG